TGGCCGGCCCCCTGATATCCACCAGCCTGGTCCCGGGAAGAGGCGGAGGGCTGGGGGGCATCGGGTTGCTGGCTCATGGCATGCCAGGTGCAGGGTCTGCTGGCTGGGTGCTGGCAGGCTTGCACCTGGCACGGGCACCGTAGCCAGCCCGTGCCCCTTTAAGGAATCCGGGGCCGGGAGGGGGGCAGAAGAGTTTCCCTGGTGTTGGCCAGAGTGGCCCCAGGGAAACCTGGGGAGGGCTAGCCTCCCACTAGTTTGAATTAAGGGGCTACACACCCCTTAATTCGAACTAGCTAGTTCGAACTAATCTTAATCCTCGTAAAATGAGGTTTTCCTAGTTCGAACTAAGCGCTCCGTTAGTTCGAATTAAATTCGAACTAACGGAGCGCTAGTGTAGCACCTATGAAAGTTAGTTCGAACTAACTTTGTAGTGTAGACATACCCTGACTGACTGGTGATGCTGCAGCTGCACCACATATATACTCACTAGGTCCTGGCTGACAACATTCGAGGAGGTTTGAGAAAAAATGTAGCTCCTCAGAAAATCTGGAAGGTTCCATGAGATTCTACAAAGGTCCTGAGCATTCTAGAAGGTTAGTGAAAAATGAATCTATATACAGAATATCTGAAACATGTTACTTCAAACAGTTACTACATGCATGTTTGTCACTAACAACAAAACAGCACTCCAATCTTGATCCCCTCCCCCCAAGCCCAGCACCCCAGGCAATCATCTGGATACTTGCCCCTAAATCCGGTCCTAGTATTTACCAGCAGCAGTAAAGGCAAAGTAGTAAAGGGTCAAAATCAATTTGCTCTAAAATAGATTTAAATGATGTTGAGATTGTAATCCATTTTAGGGCTGGATTTATCTTTATCTGTGTGCCTATTACACATCCAAAGATACTGTCAGCACTAAACAACAACAAAAGTAAATAACAGGGTTGCATCCACTTATTCCACGCCTGAGTTTGACCTTTAGTATTCAGTAGAAGATGATTAATTATAAGTCAAGGAAGATTTTTATTATTAGTGCACACATTTATAAGATGCCTGTCACCATGATATTTGGGTGTCTTAAAAGGAGGTAGTAACATTCCCAATAAGAGCAGGAGAGTACCTACATGTCTCTATTTCTTGCAGATATGGGGAAGACAATAAAGAGTGATATGGCTATTCTGCTGAGCACAGAGATTCATACTTCCTTATAATGCTGCCCACACATTCATTCCCATGGCTCCAAGGGTGACATTTATGACCAGATGGAATATGTCCCCAAGTGGAGAAAACAGGTAAGGCCTGCCCAGACATTTACAAGCTCTCTTTCACATCAGGTGCCCTTAGAGTAGCAAACACTGTATTTCAAAAATACAGAACAGACCACAGATGTTTGTAGTCTAGGGCAGGGGTTCTCAAACTTGTGATACTGTGACACCCCCCTCAGTTGCTCACCAACCCCCTCTCCATTGCTGCAACCACCCTCTCAGTTGCACACAACCCACCTCTAAGTTGCTCGCAACCCCCCAGGGGGATCGGGACCCCCAGTTTGAAGAATGCTGGTCTAGGGGTTCTCTTTGTCTCCAGCTCTGAGTACTGTAGAGAGCCCAGAGTCTCAAGCACTGGGCCACGCACTCACTGCAGCTCTGGTTCAGGTTCTGCCTGGGCACTGATATCTGAGTTGCAGATGCCATTGTTGGTGTTTGCTTGCTGCAGCACTGTGCATGGCAGTTTAAAGGAGTGTGCACTGGAGGAAGACAGCCGCTCAATGAGGCTATGCTGCATCCACCATTTCAGATCTTAATGGGCAGAGGGCAACTTTCAGAAGTGTTCCAGGGAAGGAGGAACAGCTGAGCCAAATTCAGTGGGGCATTCTGCCTGGGGCTCTAGCAGTGATTTTCAGGAGCAGCCCTAGACGAGCTGCCGGCAACTGGCGCCCTAGGCGAAATGCGCGCTCGGCGCCCCCGCCTCCAAAGCCCTCAACTGCCATTTTTCTTGGTGCTCTAGGCGACCACCTAGGTTACCTGTATTGATGAGCCGCCACTGGTGATTTTAAGGGCCTGATTTGAATAACATTGCAACATGCACCAGCTGAAGGTGTCAATTAACAGGGCTTTGCAAAGTGCCCCTCTATTCAGGATTTTAGGTGCTAGAGCAATGCTCTAGATCAGGGCTATTTAACACGCAGCCCACGGCCCATTTGTTTACAGCCTACATGCAGTATGAATTTACGCAGGGCTCAACACATGGCCCATGGGTGGGAACCAAAACAAAAAAGTAGTCAATATAATGGTCTTCTGTTGATATGCATTTTAGTAGTTAAATTCCTGGACTGTCATTGTTTATTAAAAGTGCTGTCATATGGATGGAAATCGGGTAAATATTGCATTTTATTAATATCAGCAGAACTGACTTAAATGGGGCCTGCGTGCTGTGTAGTCTTGCCTTAATCTTTGTATTTATGCCGGTCAGTGTGAAATAAGCTATTTGCATATATTTGCATATATATGCAACCACAATGAAGTTGCAGCCCTCAGCATATGCTGTGAGTATCATTGTGTCCCTCAGGGCTTCCAAAGTTGAGTAGTCCTGCTCTAGAACATTGTGGCAGCACTTCGCCTGGATGGGATAAATAACATCCAATAATGACGTAGAACAAGGACAGGCATTTTTTTTATTTAAATAAGGAGTTTTACATTAGGGAACTGTTGACAACCCAGATGCCCCTATCTCCCAAAAAATTAGCTAGTAGGTCATAGTTCCCCCAGGAGATCACAGCAGACAGAAGGGGCAATCTAGGCCATCAACCTCTCACACTTCACGGGCAGATGTGGCAGGTTGAGAGGCAGCAGGTATAGAAAGAAGAGCAGCATGAAGGTGCAGAGATGATGTGGGAGAAGGATAGCCAGCATCTAGGGCAGGTGCTTCATGGCTAGAGCCCTACCAAATTAGTGGGCACGAAAAACATGTCACTGACCTTGAAATCTGGTCTTTTATGTGCTTTTACTCTATACAGCCGGTCCTCAAGTTGCGATCGGTCGACTTACGACCGTTCGCAGTTACGACCAAAAATGTCGTAAATGGCGGACCTCGAATTATGACTGTGATCCGCGCTTACGAACAGCGCGGTCACGTTACTCAATGGAGTCCGACTTACGAACAAACCGAGTTACGACCAATTGTTTGGTCCATAACCGGTTCGTAAGTTGGAGACAGGCTGTACTATACAAATTTCATAGGGGAGACCAGCATTGCTCAAATCAGGGATCCTGATCCAAAAGAGAGTTGTGGGGAGTCACAACGTTATTTTAGGGAGGGTGGGTGTTGTAATATTGTCAACCTTACTTCAGGGCTGATTTCAGAATTGGGAAACTAGAGAGTGGTGACTGTTGGCTGGGCTCCAACTCTGAAGGCAACACCTCTGCAGCAGCAGCAGCAGCAGCAGCAGCACAGAAGTAAGGCTGGCAATACCATTTCATGACATTCATACTTCTCTGCTGCTGGTGGTGGCAGCTCCGCCTTCAGGGGTGGCCAGCAGCCACCATGCTATAAGTACCCAGCTCTGAAGGCAGCACCACCAGCAGAAGCAGTGCAGAAGGGTAGCAGTACCACACCTGCCCCCCTCCCTCTACACACACACACACACACACACAATAACCTCCTTTTTGAGTCAGGACTCCTACAATTACAACACTGTGAAATTTCAGATTTAAATAGCTGAAATCAAATTTAGGACTTTTAAAATCCCATGGCCATGAAATTGACCAAAATGGACTGAATTTGTTAGGGTCCCACTCATGGCATCCCAGGAATGAGGCCTGGGGCAGGGGTGGTTAGCAGGAGCTACAGCAGGGGGTGTGCAGCAGCAGGTGGGGATTGGAGCTTGGGGGCATAGTGCTTGGGCGGGGAAGACTGCAGCAAGCACACCGGGGCTCAGGGAGACTGCAGCAGAGGGGCTCAGAGGTGGGGAGGCTGTCAGTGGGGGGGGGGGG